TTTGACAGATTCAAATACGATTGACAGTTCATGATTTAAAAATGGATAATCGAGACGTTTTTTTGTCGTAACAACGGTAGCAATGACAATAGGGGCTACACTATTTTACAAACGACAAAAACTCCGCTCTGAATGAAGTAATTTGACTGAAATTGTTCAAGATATTAACTTTTCATCATCTGTTGTTTACTATTATAGCAAGAACTGTCAGTTCAAAATCTAAATCTTACATAATGTATCCTTAAAGGTAGAAATGTAGGACGCTAATTCCATTATCGACTAAATGCGAACACGTACACGTGGTGGTCATAAACCGATATCAGGTATTATGTAATCGTATCAGTTATTAAAATACGGTGAACAATTGTGGACATCAATTCGCAGAGGATACAGTGGACGCTTACAGCTAGCCCCAGGATCCATTCAATTTGAATAGTTCGTTTGTTTGTGATTTCTGCGTGTTGTGTCTTGGCCGTATATTTGTTTTTGTGTAAATTATGTGTGGTGCAGCCCCCCTGCACTTATTATTAACGATAAAGGTAATACTAAAGTCACTGTCGTATATATAATATACTGATATAGGCCATTAAGCAATTTAAAATACAGACACGATTCCGCACATGCATTATGTACTTTTGGCACGTTAACCATTCATTAATTGAAATAATGGTACGCCAACATCAATTTGGTGTCGTGATGACGTGTATAAATAGCAGTTGGCGTAAAAGATCCTTTGGTAGTCATGTTCATTTGACATGCTAGTCTCAAAGCAACTGGTATGTCGTATAAATATTATACCGCCCTAAACTGAACGCGAGTTTTAACGTCTGGCTAAAATACAAATATTGTTGCCCTTTTCGACTTCCATTGATCATGTCCTAAATATTACACACTATCATTGTGTCAATAACCACAAGATGACCCCGCGTATATATTTTAGTTGGTTAGATGTATATGCAATACCACACACACATACATGTAGATATATCCATTGAACTCGTATTTAACAGGCTGTGTTGGTGTTTGCAAGGTGAGAATGTACCACGTAATTTAAACTGTAGTTTAAAGCCTAGGCTAATGGCGCTAGGGTCAGAAATTATTATCCTTTTTAATATTTGACAAAGATATGACTTAGTATATATTCATTAGATGGTAATTTAGGCACCATTTTGATTTCGGTCATGCATAAAGCCTTGTGTATACGGTAATCATATGCCAGTTTTAGGGGGGGGGGCGAATGGTTAGCACGTGCGCGCTGTTTCATAAGGGCTGTCATTGAGTCAACTGGTGTGGTTTCGATTTCCCGGCTGTACGTGACGCCTGTAGGGTCGCCTGTCCAATCTCGTGGGTTTTCTCCGGGTCCTCCCACTACTAAAGACCCCCACTGGTATTAAGGCGTGAGCTAAATTTATACAAGCTAAACTATATACCATTTTAACTGAGAAAAATGTATCATTAACAATAACACTACAATCTTTATTCTACATGAAGTTAGGGTAACACTACAAGACAATACTGAAGAGCTGAAAATAGCTGCACGGAGGCCCTCAATTATTATGAAACTTGAACCAAATGAAGTTAATGTCAATAATAATAATGAACAAATTTCACAAGCACTATAATCAAATATACATATTCAATTTATCACTAAATATATGGACATGTATCGCATATTCAACATACTACATATGTAAACCTGAACGTACTATGGGCGAACTAATGAACAAGGCCAATAAAGACGCATCCCATCAAATGTCCGGGACGCATTAAAAGACATAGGTAATGTTTTCAGAAAATGTAGAGAGGTATCAGAACACGAAACAATTGCTCGAATTCATCTACCTTTGCCACTACGAAAATCCAACATAAATGGATGTAAAAGAAAATAGACCAAAGACTTTAAAGCTAAAATATATTTTAGATAAAATGAAAGATGAACAAACAGATTTGTATATGCCAAGTATTCATGATAATTATTCTGCTCGGCCACATTCACTACAAAATTGGTGTGTTACTCTGATTAGACACATTGCATAAAACTTGCCAAATGTTTTTATTGTATGTTTGTGACCACATATCCAACTTGACCTGACCAATAAAGCTCCTTCCCCAAGGAAATGTACTCAAAAACGCAACCTTACTTCTGAGATGGTAATGTGTTCTCCATTATTTTCATGTAACTCATGCTGCACACCGGGACCGGCCCTATAAAATGCACCCCCATACCTGGTTGAATCATTCACGCTACAACGTCAGCAGCATGCCACGACTCACGACAGCTCAAGGAACCAGGCGCTTGGCATACTCGACGCCACCAACACCACGGATGATCGCCCCCGAGTAGACCAAGAGTTACCACAAGGCGACAAGACTGCCATGTTGTGCGACAGCGCGTGCAGCACCTCTTCACACAGGCATCGGAGACAGCACGTCAGACAGTGGGAACACACGGAAGACCCATCAGTACCGATACAGTGCGCCGACGTCTCACCAGAGAGAACATCCATTGCCGTGGACGACCCTCGCCATCGACGTGAACGTGTGTTCTCCATTATTTTCATGTAACTCATGCTGCACACCGGGACCGGCCCTATAAAATGCACCCCCATACCTGGTTGAATCATTCACGCTACAACGTCAGCAGCATGCCACGACTCACGACAGCTCAAAGGAACCAGGCGCTTGGAATACTCGACGCCACCAACACCACGGATGATCGCCCCCGAGTAGACCAAGAGTTACCACAAGGCGACAAGACTGCCATGTTGTGCGACAGCGCGTGCAGCACCTCTTCACACAGGCATCGGAGACAGCACGCCAGACAGTGGGAACACACGGAAGACCCATCAGTACCGATACAGTGCGCCGACGTCTCACCAGAGAGAACATCCATTGCCGTGGACGAACCTCGCCATCGACTTGAACGTCTACAGTTTGCCCAGCAATACAAGAACTGGCGACATGGGCAACGGGGAACTGTTCTGTTCACAGATGAGAGTCAGTATTGTGTATCAACTGCCGATGGCAGGACCAGAATAAGGCGTCGACGTGGCCAGCATTATTCTGACCAATGTGTCATGGAACGAGATTTATGGGGAGGTCCAAGCATAATGGTTTGGGGTGGAATCGGCCTAAACCGAAGAGTGAAATACAGAGGAGACATAATAACATCGTACCGAGACCAAGCACAACCGATGGATTGAGCCAGGCTTTTCTGAGAGTGTGGTTCCAGGTGCCAATGACGTTCATCAATCGTCTGGTCCACTCGTCTGTGGAGGTCCAAGCATAATTTTTTGGGGTGGAATCGGCCTAAACCAAAGAGTGAAATTCAGAGGAGACTTAATAACATCGTACCGAGACCAAGCACAGCCGATGGATTGAGCCAGGCTTTTCTGAGAGTGGTTCCAGGTGCCAGTGACGCTCATCAATCGTCTGGTCCACTCCAAATACAGACGCTGCGCTGCTGTTAGTGACACTCGCACAGACTCTAAACTTCTCGTAATGTCTTGGAATTGTGATGAATTAATCACTAATGTGTCAACATACTGTTCATAAAAAATTGCTTTGATCCATTTATAAGTCGTTATCTAGAATGATTTGATTAAAGTGCCTCCCTGATTTTGAAATCGTACCGACGTTTTTTGTTTTTTTCTTTTTGGTATATTATTACCCTTGCAGAATTTTGGTCTCAGAACAACACCTCTACTTCTAAATCAAATGATGACAAACTGTTGTTTTTAACGTCCACTTTTCATTTTCTCAGCGCACGCGCAGGGGTCTTTCCTGTGGGAGTACCCGGAGTAAACCCACGAGGCTGAGAAGGCGCCCCTATTTCCAAGCCACATACGCTCACACCAAGGATCGAAACCACAGCAACAAGCCAGAGGGAACCGGCCAGCTAGAGGTGGAAGCGCGACACTCTAGACCACTAGGCCATTCCAAAAATATTGATGACAACAATAGTAATTCAGATATTTATAGTAACAGTAACAAAACATGTCACTTAAAAGACAAACGTGTTAACCGATAGCATTATGTCTCCAACGAAAATGATCACGTACTATATTATCATAGACTATTGATACTCTATCTGCCATGGCGCTCAGAAACAGAGTTAAAAATTCAAGATTCATATAAAATAAAAGTTGAAAACGATATTATGCTTACAATTAAGAAATGTGAACCTTATAATAAAGTAGAGACTATTTACAACGATTTTCTTCTTTCATTCTTCCAAATAGCTAATGTCAGAACTTCTTTAAGTGGCATTAAGTAATTGAACAGTAACACACTAACACTATTTATGGAATAACAATCACTGGTTTGTTAACATGCAACGTTTCGACGATGATACTCTCGTCTTTATCAAGCAAATGATAACTGTCGTGTGATGCGTTGTGATTGGATTGTTCCTATTGATTCCACGATCTGCTACGTTTCGATACGATCAACACGATTGCTACGACTGACCTCAATATATGATAAGACCTGTATAGGATCACCACGATTACTCCACGTTTAATCGTAGAACGAATCGTGATAGTGGGAACATAGCAATATTTGATTATTGTTATAAAAAATCTGAACAATGGAAAATAAAGAGATTAAAATGAACTATTGTTGTTGTCATTACTTAATCGTAACTTAATACCAGGAGCTAATAAACTGCCCCTATTCGTCCGTCACCTTTCATAACATATTTCTGCTTCAATAATGAACATTTTCTGTTCAAATTAAGAACGGACAAGCAAAATGGTCGATCCTTTATAAACAAAAGATAATATGCAATTTAAAAATGTGTGTTGTCTCATTACTTTTTTTTTATTTGGCGGGTGACATCAGCCTCATTATTGGCTATTTTATTTCCTGTAGTAAAGCTATTGCGTAAAGATTTACAATGCTTCGTGGCATTGAACGATCACAAACCATGTGTTTCATTAAATTAAACAGGGTTAGACACATAGCTTATTTTAATTTCTTTTATAATTGCTTCATTTCAGATCGCCGAAAAATGAAGAGTTCTGTAACAATACTGTGTCTTCTGACGCTTCCCTCGATGGTCATAGCAGCCAAGATATTTTTCCTGGCGTATCCATCGTTTAGTCATTTACAAGGCATGGCTATTCTTGGTGATGTTCTGAATGAAAGAGGACATGAGATATGGATGTCAGCCACATCAAATTTAGAAGAGAAATTAAAGTTAAAATCTAGAAATATTAAAGCCACTCCTTTCTCGTCCGAAGATAAAGTTATAGCATCTGTGGAAAATATAAAGAGTAGAGTTGAGACCAGCCCAAGTGAAGTGTATTTCAAAACTGGGAAAAGGATCTTAAACGTAAGGGACATGAAGTGGACATGCCATGTTATGTTAACAGATAAATTGTTTCTAGCGACAATCAAAGAACAGAAATTCGATTTGGTCGTTCTGGATATAATACCCATAGTGAACATGTTAAATTTAATTCCTTATAAATTTGATATTCCGTTTGTATATTTTGGTCCAGCCTACTCTCCATATCATTACAGAATCCCATACTCCCCGGCATTTGTACCATTTCCAATTTTACCAATGTCTGACCGTATGAGCTTTTTGGAGCGAGTTGTTAATACCATCATTCAAGGAGCCAATGTTTTCTATGACCCTTTTAGCTATTATCGTGCCGCGGCTATATATGTACCCGAGAAGCCTTATATAGAAGTGTATGATATAATTCTTAAAGCACAGTTATATATTATAGAACGTGATGATGTATTACTGCCACCAATACCAACTATGCCTAATGTTAAACGAATAAATCCCATTACCTCCATAAGAAAAGATAAAATCCCACAAGAATATTCCACATTCTTGGATCGATCTAAAAATGGCGTCATACTTGTGTCGTTTGGGAGCATGGTACCTAACACTAATAATACAATTTATACCAAATTAGTTACGGCTTTTAGGAATACAAAATATGATTTCATTATTAAAGGTGATTTTGTTAAAGGTAATGAGCGAATGATGGTGTCAAAGTGGATACCTCAAAGATCTTTATTGTCGCATAAAAACATCAAATTATTCATAACACATTGTGGAGCAAATGGTATTGGAGAGGCTATCAGTAATGGGGTACCTATGCTAGGTTTTCCAATATTTGCAGAGCAACCTGGGAATGCCCACAATATGGCGGCTAGAGGATATGGTCTCTCTATGGAATTATTTACAGCTAAAAGTGACGAAATATTAGCTAACATTAATGAAGTTATTAAAAATTCCTCCTATAAATCGAACGTTAACAAAGCTTCGCAGATTTTAAAGGAACTAAATGAACGAAATAATTCAACAGAAGAAGCTACGTTTTGGATTGAACACGTGTTGAAATTCGGTGGAGATTATATGCGATCATCCAGTGTCGATATGCCGTTATATCAGTATTTGATACTGGATGTTCTACTGTTCATTTTACTCGCTGTTTCCGTAGTTTTAGCTATTTTGTTTTACTGTTTTAAAATATGTTACAGTAGGATGTGTGGACGCAAGATGAAATCAGAATAAGATCTTCAATATAAACTAAACCTACGATGCAGCTAGGCCGGGTTTCACAGGAACCCTTTAACATTTCAACATCGAGACAACGGAAGAAGTTATAAATTAATGGTTGATATTTATATGACCGTTTAAATTGACTGAAATTACTAAAATTTCAAATATATAGGTTTTAAAGACAGTTTTGCTCAAATTGTGTCACTTCGTGTGGCAATGAATAATTTTAATTAATTTGGTATACTCAATATTTGTATAGGGTAACAAATGTTGAACATTGTTTTTAAAAAAATGTATTAATAATAATAGACAATTTTTTTGTTTTTCACAAATGCAGTTTTGCATTACTATCCATATACATGTATACCGGATTTGCACCAGAAATCAAAAACATAAAAGAAACAGAATGACAATGACATTCCCAATTGCAAAGGAACAAGTAGTCAACTTTCATCAACATTGAAAAATATGAATATTGATACACACTGTATGACCCCAGGTCAGCACTGATTTCCCCCAATGATTTTTAAAATTCTGGTCTCTTTGATCCGTTAAGTTGAACACCTTCTACCACATATGGAGCAACATGTAGCAACTTCTTGCCCAAAAAGCTCTCATAACTTTCACCCTGGAAGTAAAGCAGTCGATTAAACACAACTATCGGCCCAATATTTCAACATGACCAACCTCTTAATTCTATTATCGTTACATCTCAAAGTCACGAGTATCCACCAAGAGCTGACAGAGAATGTCAATCAATATGGGTAACCAAATGAGAAAAATTAATAGTGGTCTGAATCCTATCTAGGGGTAATTTTTATGTATTAACAAAAGGCTTTTTTATTAGTTATCCATGTATTGGGACAATATGCAGATAAAAGAAAATTAAAGAATAAATGCAAATATGATGATCCTTTGTGTGTTTAGGCTGCTTTTGTACAGCTGTGTATCATAGCTCCATGGACATTTGTTCTAAAACATACAAATGTGTTGATCAAATGGCTAGCGGCTGTGAGAACGGTGAAAGACGTATCATATTTTGGAAATAATTGATAACACGGTAGTGGCCGGAACACCGTCATCTACCATTAAATCAAACTTCGATCTCTATATGGTTGATGATAAATGGTCGTTGGATAAAATAAAATCAACAAGTTTGTTCATTAGGTCTAACGGCATTAATCTCCTTCCAGTTAGAAGATACGAAAATATTGGATTAGATTTATAATTGCCTGTGATAGCTTCAAGAAATGCTTTGATATTTTCGGATTATGCAAACGGATGTAATTTGGATCTTTCTTTTTTTTTCAAATTCAGTTTTTCTGTTAAATTCGGAAGTGATGTTATCCACAATTCATGTCATTTCTGTATCAAAGCATATGCTATTAACGATATTTGTTAAACATGGCTGTATACGGGCAGACATACAAATAGGATTTTAATGTGGACAACATGAAAGGTAAACTACCATATATTGGCAGCAAACATAAACACTTCCTAATGGAATCTTCGATCTTTTCTTATATGCCAGATTAACTTTGGTTTTAAAATCTGTTATCTGCAATATATATACTGTGTTTTACCATATGTATGATGTAACATGTTGTTAACACCAATTCATTTATATTTATATAACAGTATAAAGACATAGAAAACCGTGACTTGCTATGATGTATGGGAGCTGGTTCGTTTAACACAGAGGTCCCCGGATCGATTCCAATGTTGGTCGCGTAAGTTCCGTCTTGTGACTGTCAGCGACGAAGGCAATGGCAGCAACTAGTCATGGGACGTAAATTAAGGTCCCGTGTACACTTTAGCGTACACGTAAACAACCCTTGGCACGAAATTCAGTTGGAACTGTCACGTTATACAAAACTATCGAAGAAGCGTCTCCTTGGAATTGTCACGTTATACAAAAATGTCGAAGAGCGCCCCCCCCTCCCCCTCCAAGAACAAGACGAGCAGCGTTTGGGACCCAGTTACTGGTCCAGAAAGGGAACTATTGTTTTAAGTTTCAAAACTAATAATTCCAATCAACAAGCATAAATATATACGGTTATATATATATCACCAATTATTGTATAACTTCTTCCGTTGTCGAGATGTAACGTTGCTTATTATTATGAACATCCGGCCTAGCAACATTGTAGTACCACTCCTTTGACCTAGGTTTTCTTCTGATACAATACGTACTAAAAATTGCCCTTTTCAGTCTGAACCTATACATTACTACCTATACATGTGGCTAATGTTAATTATTATCTTTACATTATAACATCTCATGGATGACCCCTGATAAATACCAGTTAGATTATGATTTTGTGTATATCATAATGAAGTAAAGTTGCGATTTTTTTTTTACCTGGACGTGTTTTTTATTCATTTATGTGAATTTGCATACATGCGCTAGTTGGCAAATATGCAAAATATTGCCGTATAAAGACGGGTTAAGACATGTCCGACGGATATTCCATTTATATCAATGATCGTCAAGCTCTGTTTGATATGCACCGGCTATTGATAATGGGTTATACTTACACATTTATAGTAGGTTAACTGACTGCACAAGTAAACGCTGATATACTGCGCGCTTAACAAGGTGTTTACAAGGTGAGACCCGTTATGTAAATTATTTACGATAGTCATAGTTGAAAGCTTAATGGCACTAATAAGGTTAAAACGTGGTGATTAGATGTTAATTTCGATACCAATATGTATGGAAATGAAATATCCATCGATCATGTCTTAAGGCTTTCGAAGAAGGCAATGGACTTGTAATTTAGGTTCATCTATCCATCATACCTAGACTCAGTTCGACGGTGAGATTCTGCTTAAGCTAATCATTGATGCGAAGATGATCCATTTGATTGGTCGATAGTAAAGGACACAATAATAGAGATAGAATGTTAAAACTTGTAGACTTTCATGATTTGCCATGCTTCTAATTGTGGTTGAATGATCAGACTTGTAGATAGTCATTAGGTGAATGCCTGGACTGAGTTGAACTATGATCATTGTCCGATAGGCCCCGTATAGATTAGCAATTTGACTTTGGAACGAGATAACTCTGCTTCTGATATATATATATAGAGAGAGAGAAATGGGGTTTAACGTCCACTCGACACAAACTAGGTCATTTCGGGACTAACATATGGTTTAATTTTTTTTACATAATTCGCTTGCGCGTAGGGGTCTTTAGCAGTGGGAGGAAACCGGAGGACCCGGAGAAAACCCACGAGGTTGGACAGGCGACCCTACTCCTTGCCACGTACAACGGGGGATTCGAAACCACGCCAATCGACTCAATGACAGACTTTATGATACAGCGCGCTCACGCTAACCATTCAGCCATCCAACCCCCCTGATATAGAGACAGGTGAAACGGATAGTATGAATGTTGAAGCATGGTGTATACATGTAGTTTCGTTACTTTCATACCTCGACTTTTATAACCACGCGATTGACAGATATAGATACCAGTATCAATAAAGATCCAAAATCGATTCAAAAGCAGATGATCCCTTCACTGTAACGTGCAGCTTTCACCTTTCTAGCTTGCAAATCGGTCGCGGTGCTTCACTTGGTTATCAATTGCTTTTTTTATACGCCAACATTTTATGTGTACGTATATTGTCGTCGTCCATGTCCACAAACACATAGCTTATTTTAATTTCTGTTACCATTGCTTCACTTCAGATCGACGAAAAATGAAGAGTTCTGTAACAATACTGTGTCTTCTGACGCTTCCCTCTGTGGTCATAGCAGCCAAGATATTGTTCCTGGCGTATCCAACTTTTAGTCATTTACAAGGCATGGCTATTCTTGGTGAATTTCTGAATGAACGAGGACATGAGGTATGGATGTCAGCCACATCAAACTTAGAAGGGAAATTAAAGTTAAAATCTAGAAATATTAAAGCAACCTCTTTCTCGTCCGAAGATAAACTTCTAGCAGCTATGGAAAATATGACGAGCAATGTTGAGTTCAGTCCAAGTGCAGTGTATTTCAAAACTGGGAAAAGGGTCTTATCCTTCGAGGAGTATAAGTGGATATGCCATGTTATGTTAACAGATGAATTGTTTCTATCGACAATCAAAGAACAGAAATTCGATTTGGTCGTTCTGAATATAATACCCGTTGTCACCATGTTGAATTTAGTTCCTTATAAATTTGATATTCCGTTTGTTTATTTCGACTCAGGTTACATTCCATATCTTTACAGAATCATGTATTCTCCGTCATTTGTACTGTTTCCAATTTTACCAATGTCTGACCGTATGAGCTTTTTGGAGCGAGTTGTTAATACCATCCTTCAGGGCGTCACTGTTTTCTATGACCCTTTAAGCTATTATCGTGCCGCGGCTATATATGTACCCGAGAAGCCTTATATAAATAAAATTAAATGAAATAAATGGAATTTAATCGCCTACTGTTCTGCTCCAAGTGTACTATATGAAGGAAACTTTGCCCGGATGGTGTTTTACATTTTATTGTTTGTGTGATTTCGTTATGGGTGTGCATTAATATGTTATCATCATTCGTACAAATGACAATAATAAATATCGCCGGACTAGTGCACCCGCGAACTAGTAAGCATTATGGGGAGGGGGGATTATATGTGATTTATGCATTTCCCGATATTTAAAGAAGGTAATGAAGAACCAAATGTGTGTAATATACTGACTACCTAAACTAAGTAGATTTAATATTTTCAACCTTATCACAATGGTTACACTATCACAATAGCCAGTTATTTCCCTATTCAATATTGTAAAATAGATCTGTTACACTGTCCTGATCAATGATATAGAAATAGTTTCACTCTTTCTTAAGGATGTGTTATTCCAGAGCTAAATCTGCCTAATGTAGATCTTTCTTGGTCTCAAATGTTAAATAAATCATTAATTTGACATTGATTTACAAAATCAATTTGCTAGAACGTCCGAAGGTATTTATTTTTAACAGATTCAAATACGATTGACAGTTCAGGATTTAAAAATGGATAATCGAGACGTTTTTTTGTCGTAACAACGGTAGCAATGACAATAGGGGCTACACTATTTTGCAAACGACAAAAACTCCGCTCTGAATGAAGTAATTTGACTGAAATTGTTCAAGATATTAACTTTTCATCATCTGTTGTTTACTATTATAGCAAGAACTGTCAGTTCAAAATCTAAATCTTACATAATGTATCCTTAAAGGTAGAAAGGTAGGACG